CTGACACCTGGGGTTTCCGTATTTTGCAAAAACAGGGGAAAATTAGTACTGGCAAAGCCATAACCAAAATCAAAGATTTGAAGGAATACAATATCATGAACCAGGGCATAATGGCATTTTTAACAAAATAAAACAGATAAACTTTGCTGCAAATTAAAAACAATTCTCTTGTATCTGAGCCCATAATGACTATTTTGAATACAGATATTTACTGCTGCCAATAAAGAGAATTTTTGGTAGCTTTTTCTGTTATTGGGAAGAGATTGAATACAATCCAGTCCAAAAAAATGCTGACTTTCCTAAATAGGGGCTGTGTTTTTGCAATAAAGAATACTGGTCAATATACAAGTGAAGGAAAACTGAACCAGATGTCAGTAATAGGACCACAGAACGTTGCATTTGCCCAGAATCGCTATTTTAAACACATGATGTCGGTCTACTGGTTTGTGGGATAATACATTCTTGGCAGTGAGAAGGAGTTTCGATATGTTAGAAGGTTATCCTTGAGCAAATAAAAAAAAAGGAAAAAAAGAAAACAAAAGCAGCAGAAGAGAGGTAGAGAAAGACCACTAATTCATCAAGCTCCTTATAGCAGAAAAAAATTATTACTTACTCAGGAAACCAGTTCAAAGAAAAGTCAGTCTCGAAACAGAAGGCTTAGTTTTCACATTTTCATTCTCTGCTTTACTTCCTTCCTACTACTACTTTGTTGTGCTTTACCAAAGGATTCTTTCCTCCATATGCACTCCAGTTCTGGGCAAAAGTCTAAGGAACAACGGGGCAGCTTGCACCTTGCAGCTCACAGTCAGGCTGACAGGGGCAGGGGACCACAACCCCAGCGACCACACAAAACCCAGCTCCGGCAGATTTTTGGGTTGGAAACCTTTGCTGACACAAAGATCCTGCTCCTGTCCCTGAATTACTGGAGGAAGCCGTTCATGGGGTCAGACTCCATCATCCCAAAATCCCGACGAGCAGCACTGGAAGCCATACACACCCAAATAACATTAACACAGGTCCCTATTCATTGCCAGTCAAGTACTTACCCATCTCTAAAATGCTTCCTACTTCAGTCACGGGGATTTGAGATTGTTTTTGTTTGGTTTTTTTCTCCTCTTCTATTTAAGAAGTAGTTACATCTGTAGGTCTTCTTAAAATAGAAATAAAACTCCAAGAAGTACTTCATATGTTTGGAGAACAATCACTTCCCCATTTTACCACGTAGTAAATTTAAAAATCAACTCTGTTCATTGTTTTAACAAACCCTCCTCTGCAAGATAATTAAAACCACTTCCCAATATACAACCAAAGTTTTATTTTTATAGTCTATCTTCCATTATGGCATAATCCTTTCTTTTTTTTTTTAAACCAGTGAAATATACAAATCACGCAAGACAGAAATATGTACATTAAATGTACAGAACAGAGGAAAGGACATAGAAGATTTACATATCTGAATGACAAGTAAAATATTTTACATTAAATAGTGTTTTAATAGCTAGGATCATGAGATTCAGTTCTGCTCAGACAAAAGTCACTAAAAAGGAACATGAGGTGATTCAGCAAATGAAAAAAAAAAAAGATCATGGTTTTTGTACAATAAAAACCAAAGTGACATATTCAATGAATTAGTGCTTTATTTATTTACCTTAAAGATATTCTTTGCAAACATCTGAAGACGAGGGGTAAATATGTCCTTGTACAATAAATTAAGAGCAATAAAGCGCCATTTAAGAAGCTGATAAATGATCAAGATGAACTTAATGATACAGCTTAAAGGCTCGTGAAAAGTTAAGGCTTTAATACAACTAGGCTAAAGTGAAAGATTTTCCTCACTTGGTATTTGCAAAGCCAGTTTCTTGTTGGATGGGACCGATTTGGAAAGAGGCATCTGAACCAGTGATGAAATCCTGCATAATTACACAGCACCAGGGGAAGCAGAGGGGGAGAGGGGGGAAGAACACATATTTTTCAACAAATAACAATTTCAATTTTCAAAAACTGAAAAGCAAGGGCCAAATGCAGCACATTTTAGAGTTGGAAGGTGTCTCCTTTCAGCAATAATCAATAATGCCCTTAACGTGAGAGTGGAATGGAAGCAACCTCCAGACCAGTATCATTTCAAGTGCAGGGTGCTGCCTCTACCAACCACCCAATAAAGTCCTAAAGCTGGGAAGAGGCTTACTTCTTTTTAATTATCCTTAAAACTTTTGAATTATAAAAGCTTTGAAAAAATAATTAAAAAAACCCACATCAAAATATTAGAATCAATCTAAAAACCTGAAGAGATCTGAAAAAGAAAATGGGGGATGAATTGCCCCTGCAATTTAGACATTTTATTATTTCTTAGATCATTAATATATGTACAAAAAGTTTCGAAATATCAGACACCAGCAGACCACAGTTCTCCCATATATATGTAACTGCTCAAGTATAGTCTGAACAGTTGTAGTGTATATCTGCAATATATTATCTAAAGCATGTGTATTAAAGACATAGGATGATAAATTTGGTATTGCTGCAATATTTGATTGAACTGTAATAGTCAGTTAATGTTATTAAAACACGAAACTATTGTCTCCTTGAGTGAAAGTATTCCCAAAATCTGTGAAAAAAATAAAAATCATTCCAAAAGTGGGTATCTAATGATTTATTTTCTCACATAAAATTAGAGGAGTTATTTGTCAAGCTGTGTTTTGAAAGACAGCCAGCTATTACACCATTTTTAAGGCATTTTCAAATTTGGGGAATTCTATTTTCTATAGGCTTTCCAGGCAAGGAGACCAAAACAGTTTGCAGGCATTGCAGCTCCCTCTGCCCGGCTACAGTGCTCCAGGGGCTGCACCTCAGCTGCTCTCCCCCCTCGGTCTAAGTGAAATACTGATCAACCCAAACGACACAATTAGCTAACAGGGCCAAATTCAACCTTGAAGAACACTTATTATTCATCAAGGCAGATTTTTCTCTTCTTTTTCGGTGGTGGTGGGTTCCGGAACCAAACAAGGTGACTCAGGAACAGCGCAGTCAAAGCCTTTATGGTCCTTTGCTCTTTACCCTTCGATGACACTGCGTTCAGATATCCAACTGACACGGTATTTCGTGATGAATATACCCCTTATTTACAGAGCCCTAAATGCACTGAACAGCTTTATATGCCCTATTCTGATAACTTCTAGCACCTGAAACTAAAAGTCTGGACAGGTCTGTGTGTTCCTCACATCCCTCAGGACTGTTCTAACATCCCAAGCTCACTACACGGTTGCACTGCCTACTGCACGTGTATTACGTCCCATTAGGATATGTTGGATTTTCCCCTCGAACTACTCTATTGTTCTTAAGTAAAGTCAATTTTTATTTTTTTTTTACTTTGTAAAATAAATATTCTCAGATTCTCCCCCATTATTGCCAAAAATATAAGCTGCACAGAGTTCTGGGATGGACGCAGAGAGGATTTCCAGGCACTTCTCTTTGCAACCTTTATATTTTTTTTCTTTATTCTTTTTCCTTCCTCCCACCTTTTTTTTTTTTTTCTTAAAAGAAGACGACAACTCGTTGGACTCTATAAATAAAGTGGAGATAGTCCTGTGGGAAGGGGGCCTGCACCCCTTGCTGGCAGGTGGCTGCAGTTCCTCCCACCTTGTCCGGCCCCTATTTGCACACAAATTGGTCCACGATCTCTGTGCACAACTTGCATTTCACGTAGCAGCACCAGTGGAACTTGCAGTGGCAGCGCTCTCGCTGCACCGTCTTGAACTGGTCGTACCCCCGGCCACAGCACATGAGTTCGCAGCCGTCCATGCCCTCCGAGGTCTTATTACAAAGGCGGCCCTGGGTGCCCAGGGAGCCGGTGCTCTCGTTGCGCACGCAGTAGTCAGGGCTGGGATCGATGTAGACCAGGTCGTGGATGGTGGGTGCGTTGAAGCGACTGTTCACTTGCTCCAGCTTGCCCCGGCTGTTGAGTTTCATGGCAGCAGCACTATCATATTTCTCCTTCAGGGCATCGCCTACCTTGCGGAAATCAGCAAGCTGCAGCCAACAGGTCTTCAGGCTACAGGAACCAGAGACGCCGTGGCACTTACAGGCCACGTCAGCCAGGTTGTACACGGTCTGGAGGAGCCAGGAAAAGAAAGCAAAAACGACGATGGAAGATTAGCATGGCTCCGCAAGCAGTTACTCCCCTCATCTCCTGCCCTTTGTCGCACTCCCACTTGCCCCTCCACAATCCTTGTCTTAGCATCCTCTGCCCTCCTGCAATAACCCTGGGAGGAAGAGCGAGCGAGCCAAAACACACGCACCCCCAGCACCCCCTTAGCTGAGGGGTGCTGCCCCCAGCCTCTCCCCACTGCAGAGACAGCCACACCAGCACACACACACACACACACAGAGCCCCGGCAGCGGTCGGGCTGCAGTCAAATTTCAGGAATTTGCTCTCACGCCAGCAAAGGATTTTGCTGTTTCACTGAGAAATGTAAAACATCCCTTTATTTTCTATCTGAGTTACTCTCTATTGATCTCTGCTTGAGGCTGCAATTAGGGAAAGTGTTAAGATTCCTCTTGCTCCTGGCCCAGCTGCAGCCGATTGTCTACTCTTGGCTCCACATCCTCCCCCTATCCTAAATACGGCTCTGCAAGAAAGACTCCATCCAAGAAGAAACCCCCAAACACCTATGGGTGGGAGACAGAGCTGCATAGCAATATCCTCTTTACAAAGCTTTGGCAGGGAAATATCAGTCATTTGCCCTGTACAAACAGAAATAAGAGTCAGTGTTGACACTGCCCCAAAAATCCCGGGGTCTGACACATTAGATGATACTGTAGACAACTTCCACCCAGCAGTTACAGAAAGTCTGAACGCTGCCAAATGGCACTGCAAAGATGAGGCTGAGGAAGGAAAAAACTGCTCCAGTCTCCGTAAGCAACTGTGAAAGTGTCATTTTTCTTCCTGCTAATAGTAAACTGGCCTGTCCACTGCTTTCAGACACTCTCCTCTCACATTTAAATACGATTAATTTTCAATTATCTTTCATCCTTCTTCACCTTAGAACACAAGTGCGAAGTCCCAGCCGACTACTTCTGGCACTTCAAGCTCTAGGAAAATAATGATTTTGGCTCTTCATATTCAGACTATTAAAAAAAAGAAAAGTTTACACCCATTCATTTAAGGCATTTTCAAGATTAAAGAAGCCATAAAGACATGTTTAACCATAGAAGACCATGTCTTCTAATAATATGGAGGAGCTTTTCACATCCTCTTAAAGCAAGGGAAAAAAAAAAGTCAGAACAATCCCGCGGCACGATTCCAGCCTGGGAAGCATGTCCCTCCTCTCTCCAACGCACGCTGTCCTGGTTGGAAATACAAACTAATAAAATCCTGTTCTACAGCAAATCCACAGCGAGCATGGCATTGTTAATGCAACAACACCGAGAGACACACAACAGGCTTCAGTCCCAATCCTCCTCCATGGGGAAGGCAACAGGGCTGTCAGACAACCAGGAGCAACGCAAACGCACACA